AGGACCCCCGCTACGAACCATTTGCTGCGGCCGCGCCGGGGCCCGGCCGGACGGGACGGAGACCAAAGTGACGTACAAATTTATGAAATTAAAAATCCTGAACAGTGAGAGCCTCACAGGCGTGCGCGCGGGGGGCCACGCAGGAAGAGTACAGCATGGCCGACGGGACGGGACGTCAGAGGGGCAAAGCACTAGGCCCCGCCGTTACTACATGTAGCTGCGCTGGGTAAAGGGACGGGACGGAGGGCGTGATCACGAGCGCCAGCTTTGCGAAAACGGATAGCGCGTACCTCTGGTTTCGCCCCGTTGGAGGGTTGGCAACCGCAGCGACGAGCAGTCGATTCATCCGGTATTTTGGTTGGAACTGCACCGGTCACAACAACGTCCCGCCACATACAATTTCAAACCGCAATCTTAGTTTTGAAGTATAGCGTCGCCCGCCGCGCCATAGCCAGCCCCCTCCTGCTCTGCGCGGTCGCTTCCTCTCTCATAGGATGATCCCACCCCGCGGGTGGCACCCCGCAGTGCTTCCGCACCCCCGCCGACATCACCGGAACGGCACCCCTTCCGGGCCGCCGCGCCGGATGTGAAGTGTGACTCGATAGGAGGGCGCTGCGGCGGACGGCCGTTGGAGGGCGGCGCGCGTCAACGTCGAACCCCTACCCCTCCTTGGGGTTGACAAAGGGACCGCCGTGGCGGGGGCGGGTCCGGCGTGGTCTCGCGACAGGGCCGCCTACCAGCCCGAGCCGGTCAGAGTTCCTGAACCTCCCGACAAGATAATGTTTTCGTCGGCTGGAGTCGGGCCGCGATGTGAATCAGACAGCAATTGCCGTGCTCTACTTTGTAATGTGACAGATCCAACCCCGCCAAATTCTGACCCCTGTGAGTCGCCTGTCGCCTGCCCCCCCTCCGCCTCCAGTTCGGCGCGCTTCACTTTGTGTGAACGTGTTAATTAGTCTCATTACGTCCCAGGCGGCCCCGCAGGCCTATCCCGGCCCGCGCCGCCCGGAGTGAGCGGAGTGGAGCACAACCTGCCGGTGGAAAAAAAACAAGTCCAGCGCCCGCCAATGGTTTATTGAGAGCACTGCGCGTTAGTTAGGCCCAAGAACACCCAAGCGCGCCATTTTCATCCCTCTCGGCCTGATGGCACGTGAAGTGATTGTCTAAAGAATGTCGGCAAACCAACAAATAATATCGTACCGCGAGAATCAACACTGTCGCATATTTTGTAATTAATTAGAACACACAATTAATCGGCGAAGATCAGTACGATCTCAAAAGCTTTGTAAAATATCGACTGCATTATACCGTTGACGTCGTTATACTTACTCGCAGTCCCCGGGCACGTCGCACTTGCCGTGGGTCGGATCGCAGCCCGCCTTGCACACGGCTGCAACACAGAGACACACTCGGTGAGACACAAATGAATGAACGGCGCCCGGCCGCTCGTTAGGCGCGTGCCGCCGCGCCGCGTCATAAAGCATGGCTTCGGCAGCAAAAACCGGAGGCTCTCTCTGCGAAGAAAAGCCGAGAAATAATTGATTGGCAAATAATTATGGTATTGGAAGCCTGAGGGATGTGACGAGCAGGGAGGTATTCGGCAGAGAGTGGCGTGCACGAGTGGATCAGGTGGTGGTGGGCCTCCGCCTGCCGTATAAACGCTACTTTATTGGCCCGGTCTCAACTGCTCTCTTCTCTGCGATGGTTCCAGCCATGGTTGGAGCAGCGGCCTGGGCAGCGCGGCCGTTCAACGCGACGGCTACTTTGCCAAGCCAACCTGTCTAAATTCTATCCAGGCTAATTCACTGACTAGATTCGAGTGATTAAGTCATCCGAATCCCATTTGTAAAACTACAGGCGGGATGAATACAACCGTACCGGGTGCTTCAGAGAAGACGCAGGTGCGGGCGTGTTTGCCTCCCACAGGGGCCATGGCGCCTTACGGGTAGAGCGGGTAGGCAAACCCGCCCGCACCTCTTCTCAGAATCACCCGGTACGGTATAGGTAGGGGGTATCAAGTCAGGAGGGAGTTATTGCAAACATCCGTGACAATAGATGCAAATATCTAAGGGACGGCAATGACATTTTCGACTCATGGAGGGAAGTTAAAGTGAATTCTACCTCAGAGACAGAACAGAGCGGAATTAGCCGAAGATCGACAAAAAAACACGGGGGGAATATATGTCTCTATAGAGACATTTCCGCTATGTTCAATTTTGTTAAAATGTTGTATAAAAAGAATTTCCAATGAAAATGCTTGGTAAGCTCAAGGCCAATTTGCTCTACAAAAGCTTTAACTGTGCGTCCTCGTCAAACATTTCCTTGTGAAGTTTTCCGATCCCGTTTTCACGGCCTTCAGCAGTACTTACCGATCTCGCAGTTGGCGCCCATCCAGCCCGCGATGCACACCTTGTCGCCGTTGTGGTCGCAGATGTAGTGGCCGAACTTGTCGTCGCGCGGCCGGCAGAACTTGGTGCAGGTGGCGTTGAAGTAGTGCTGGTCGCACTGCACGCGCACGCGGTACGAGAGCCACGCCACGGGCCCGCGGTGCGTGAGCGTGTGCCACTCGGCCGACGGCAGGATGATGCCAGAGTACGACGCCTCCTCGATCACCCGCTCCGAGCCTGCAACAGAGAGGGCGGCGAGAGTCAACACTTGGGGACGACCATGGCCGTGACTGGGCAGTATCCGTGTTTCCTCTTTTCCTATTCGTGAGCATGCCTAGTATTATATTAACACATTGCCGTTATTGATCATTACACGACGCGACGCATGCTGTTAGAGGTGGGTGGGTTACCTACACGGCGATTTAAAAAAAATAATCATTCTTGACTGTTGAGAAACCGCAAAGGCTAGGCTAGGGTTGCGATTCCCACCTTCCCCCACCCCCTTTCCTCTGTTTTCCCCTACATGTACTATGTGCGGCCGTTCGGAAACTTCTTTATTGTCACTTAATTAAGAGATAAGTTGTTAGTTAAGACACGGTGCTGCACATACCCCAACAAAACGAAATGGGGATCTGGCGCCCGTCACACTGGTGCTTCCCTACAGGTATCGCAGCGGGATTTTTGTATCATAAAGTGCTCGTGGGAGGTGGGTCCACAACTGAGGTTATACTGTATTGTACACAGTTTCGTTGCCACCTTATCACTGCTCAGCCGCTTGAGCCACAAATCCATACAAACTATTTCCTCAAAATCTATGTTGATTATGAAACCGGACGTTCCGTAAAAAGATTAAGGTATAAATAATCTGGGCAAAGGCGAGTCGTCGTCGCGTTCGGGCGTGGCTTCAATTGATATTCAGCGCTAATAGCGCGATAAAAACTGTACACATTCCCCTTCCCCTTCCCCCGTGTGGATGCTAAACTACGTATGGTTGTTGACCCCCGCCCCTCCCCGTCCCCCTTTCCTCCTCGGCCGGGTCAGGACGGGATGCACAGGCAGAAGAGGGGCCCGGCCCGGCGCACCACCGCCGTGGCTCGCCGTAGATTGATGATGACAAGCAAATCAACTCCGACAGGTGGAACGGGCGAGGCGTGGCGGCGGCGCGGGGCCCTCCACTGCTCCTCGGCGGGGCCCCTGGGACGAGCAGGGCATGTCGCTCCGAGCAAGCCGCCGGCCCGGGCCCCGCGGGGCTGTTTGCTCTGCAGTGGCGCCGGGGCCGGGGGGTGTTCAGTCAAGGAGAGGAACAGAGCCGGGGGGCCCGGCGGCCCGCACCGCGCTTACCGACGGCCCCGATAGTCTGCTTATTGGCAGAGTGATGTTATTACGATCGTTATCACACGCCCCTGGGCCTGGGCACGGCGGGGCCGAGCTCCACCCACAAGCTCGCCGCCACTGCCTTCACACTTCAGGGGCCTGCATGCTCCTTTCCAGCGAAATTTAATTTATTTTAAATTGGATCGAAAAGCACGCGGCCGACCACCCGAGAGGGATCAAGGAATTCTCGGCGGAAATAGGATGCTATAAATATGAGTTGCAGCTCGCGGCCGGGGCGACTTTACTCGCCCGTGGGGACGGCGTTCCGGGAAGGGTGGCGTTCGAGCCGGCGTGGGGCCTAAGTAAGCGGCCATCGATATCCATCACTTTTAATTGTGACCGCCAAATTAAGCCGGTGAGGGCAAAATGAAAATGTTTCACCTTCTAGGAATCATGCCCACCACCCCACTTTCCCCCGTATAATTTTACATTCTCAGCCCCGTCACTGCCTCTTTTTTTGCATCTGGAAAAACAAGCCTTTCACGAACTGGGCAGCAGAAAACTGCCGCAACGTGCAGGTGAGCGGGGACGTTTTCCTACTGTCACTGATCATGACCATGGCGCCCCAGGCCCCCCGCGCAGGTAGGCAACCTCCCTGCATGCGTGCGTGTGCGGTTTAATCAGTGAGCGCACAGCGTTTTTCATCCACCTCACCCGGCACAGTATTTACTTCTCGCGCACATGGCGTGTGTAACATTTCTGTGGCCACGGGGCAGTCCGAGGGGGGCCCCCGGGGTGGGAGGGGGGAGGGGTCACTCCGGACTTCTCTAGGAGGAGAAGGAGACCCTCGCGCCGACCACAAGCAGTGACTCATTGCAGTGGCCGCTGAGGGGGAGGAGGGAGGGGGCAGGGGGAAGTGATCCGAGCTGTTATGGGCGCATAATTGTGTCGGCACGTCGGGCTGCGTCCGCGGCGGCCGCCGTCAGCATCGTCTCCGGGTCACGGCCCGAAAGGGGCACCCGGAGGGGGAGGTGCGGGCGCCGCGGACGCGTCCCGTCCAGTACACAGCGGCGCGCTGCAGCGACGGGAGGAAGGAGGGGAGCAGGGGCTTTAATACGGCTCACCGCGCATTAAATCCGGAGAAAACATGCTCTTGAACGGCAAACAGGAAAGACGAGGCCGGGGGGAGGGGAAGAGAAGTAAACTCACCTGAGTCACTGAAGTTACCAAAGTCCAGGGCCTGCAGTATCAGCGTGAAAGACCTCTGCAACAAAAGAAAATGGACAAGTTAGGATCGGGCAAAAAGAAATAATAAAGCACTACATTATTTCCAAAGTAACCGAGAAAATGGATTTTCGGACGTGTGTTGTATGCACGCCCTGTACAGGCTTGCTGCGTGGGTGCCACACGGTGCGCAGCGGCCCCCTCACCTTGCATAGCACAAACACAGACAGGCACACAAACACACACATACACACGCACACACATACACAAGGGTGCCGAAGAAGAGAAATGTCCGGTAAACAGAGTCAAGAGGCTTGGCGTTGCTTGAGTCAGTTTGCCCTGACGGACGTCCAGTCCGACCAGAGCTCTCCCCCCTTCCTCTCACCCTCTCTCGTGTGCGTCATCAAAGGTTTATTCTTGTGGACGGCGCACTCGACGCTCACCATTAATTCCGTCCTTCCTTTAGGAGACCCGACCACCCTCCTGCTCCGCGCATCGGTCGGTAGGTGGCACAGCACCCCGGCAACACCACCAGTCGAAAGAGCAGCCAGGCAGTTTCAAGTAAAATACGAAAAGTGTGGTGTGTGTGAGAGAGAGGAATAGAGACAGAAAAGGGAAAAAAATCTGCATAAATAAGAATAAAAGTCAGCGACAGATCTTGTGATCGGCTACGTGTTCATTACAGCACCCCGGCCGGCCAGCCCAGCAGCGGCGGCCAGCCCAGATCGAATAGGATTACAATAATGAACGAGTCTGGTAAACAAAGAGAGGCATTCCTGGGCGGGTGTTGCTGCGGCTTCGTTAGGGAAGGTGTCGCGGACCTCATCGCGGAGCCGCCGTGGAGCCCCCGCCAGGCCCCGCCCCGGCCGACGCACCCGCCCTGCCCTGCCTCGGTGGGAAAGCTGCTGGTGGGGTAGCAAGGGCGGGGGTGATTTGTTGCACCGGACAATTTCACTGGAGATCGAAAGCGAATGAAAAAAAAACTGGTGTGGGTTTAAAAAAGCGGCACACACACATACACAGCAGTACGGGGATCCATTTTAAACGCGCGAAGGCAGACTGAACAACTAGGCGGGCGAGAGACGATTACGCGCCGTTAGAGGGAAAAACCACTTGGACAGGTGTGTGTGCTGCGCTCGGCGCGTGAATAACGCACTGTTGGCCCCGCAAGGCACGGCCCGCCGCGCCGCGCCACGCCCACGCGCGACAAGCAGCGTCCACCGATCGCACACACACACACACACACACACACTACTTATTGGCAATTTGCCGGACTGCAAGCGTTGCGGCGGGGCAACCATGTTGTGGCCGCTCTGGCCGCGCCACGCTGCTGCTCCGCGCAGAGAGAGAAGAGAGAAGCGGAGCGTTTAGTGCGGCATCACACCACCGCCGTGGCCCGTAATAACAGAACCAATTTTATAATCACAAGCAGGGCGCGCAGGGCGTGTGTTGCGATAAAGAGAGGAATAATGATCACGAGCGGGGCGAACCACCGGGGCGCAAGGGAAGGAGGAGGGAAGCAGCGCAACCACGCACATAATGGTGCACCTCGCTGTCGTCCGCGCCAGACCGCGGCGGTGCGGCGGTCGATGGGTAATTATTATTGAGACACACGCGGGATGAAAATTTCGAAAAATAAGATAATAATGCGCAGTCAAGCGGGCCAGAAAGTGAGGAGGAGGAGGCCGGGTAAAAAAAAAAAAAGGACACGATCACGATCGCACCAAAAAGAAGGGTGCGAAACTTGCCTGGATGCGGTACAGTCGTGTACATAACTAAAAGCACTTCACAAGTGGTCAGCGTGAGACGCTACAACGCCAAGCAGTTTTTCACGATTGTGATGATGCGATTTGTTACAGATTGATGAGAAAACTATTTAAAAGGTCCCGTGCAATGGCAAGATTGACACAGCTCATCTCGAGCAGTATAAGATCACCGGATGTGGCAGCGACCAAAAAATTTTGACGTCACTACAAGAATTCTTCTCGACAGTTCTGTGTTAAAAATTTTGCGCGCGTGCAATACGGAGCCGGCTGAGCCGTGCGGCTGGTGTAGTATAGCGCCGCGCCGCACCGCACCGCTAACGACGATTAGAGGAGGACAACTTTTTACACACTCCTGGTCGTCCGCTAAGCCGCGCACAGAGCGCCGCCGCGCCGCGACGAGCATTTCAATGCGCGCTCGCCTGCGTGTGGCTCCGATACAGCGCTAATTAGCCCTAGATCCCACCTCCGCACTGCGCTATAGTTTTTTCTGCACCCCACAAACCTCTAGCCTTGTGTGTGTCCCCTTGTTAAATGTTCACGTTAGGCCATAAGAAAGTGCGTGTGCGTGTGTGTGTGTGTGTGTCTCTCTCTCTCTCCTCATCGTACCGTAAACTTTAGGAGTCGTGTTTTCTCGCCCAATTCGACCAACCAATGCTTACATCGGCCGTTTCATTAGCACGTTCCGTGTAGGGGACTGTTCTTTTACCCTCTTGGTCACAGGTCATAAGTGCGCAGCCTTCACTAAATGTAAGGATTCTCCTTTTCATCAGCGGCCTAATATGAAAATGTTCGGGTAGAATCGTGGCACTTCTAAGATTTTACCTGGTCCACATGGGACGGGTGCTGCTGAACCGTCGCACGAAAAGTGTTAAAGACATACAAAGTAAGCTGCAAATTTATAGCTCTGCGCTAGTTACGGTGAGGCTGGCCGGCTCGAGGGGGCTCGAGGGGTGCCGTATTCATGCAACGGCCACATGGCTCATGACTCATCATGGCATGCGCATGCGGAGATGCGGAGGACCTCCACCCGCCCCCAGCCCCACCCCTCGCCCCGCGCGGTCAGGAAGTCCCATAGAGAGCTCAGCTTGCGCTCAGCTTGCGCGTCCCTCTCGGCGTGCCCGTGACGTCACAAGCCGAGCACGCATCGCGCCCGTGGCTCCCCGCATGGCCTTTGGCGGCCCGGCAGGCTGGCGCACACACAAACACGTCGTCGTCAGCGGGATGGCAAGGCATCCAGTGTTGACGCCTCGCACGCCTCGCGTTCCCACGCGCGCGCGAGGGTTGGGGCTGGGGGGAAGACGGGGTGGGGGCAGATAGCGGCGTATCCAACACCCCTGCTGAGGATGAGGTCTCTGATAGTGGGCGGATCGGGTTCGCCGCGTATGTGTTATTGTGGTCCATGGCGACGTGTCCTCCTGCGGCGGGGCGCATACCAGGCCGCGCCTAGCCACGCCCCGCTCGAGGCGACCCGCTTCCTGGACGCAGCCACCTGCTACCCCACATCACATCACACGTCCGTCCCCCAACGATCCCCCCACCCACCTCCCGGTCCGACACGGCGCACTCAGCAGTCTCCTTGCGACGGCGCCCTGACGGCACCCTGACGGCATCCTGACGGCATCCCCCTCCTCCCGTCATCCTGGCGGCACCAAAATGAATCTCAAAGATTATCCTCGCGCGGCGCGAACCACTCGTCTGGATGTCGTCTCGCCTGACTGGACTCGATCACGCGCTTTGCTCTGTCCTTGTCGCGCGAGGCGGGTGCGTGGCGAGAGGAGGGCAGAGGATGCACAGGAAGTTGAGTAATCCCTCACTCACTCACTCGCTCGCTCACTCTCCCGCCAATGTGCCCCCTTCGCGTTCGTCCCGTGGTCCTCCTTCACGCTCCTTGAGACGGTAACACGCATATCAAACATGCTCATGTTTTTATTACTTTTTGTTTTTCTTTACTCCAGCACAGCCTGCCTGCCACCCCCTCCCCTCCCCCTCCTCTCTCTTTCACCGCAGCAACACTGTCCGTCCCCCTTATACATTCCCATCACGCAAGCACAAATTGAACAAGTTTTTGTGGCCATTTGTACACCGTTAAAATATATCGCTGTCATAGAGATATTGGAGCAGCGGATGGGCCCCATTCATCCACAGCTCCTCCTCCCCCCCTCCCCCCCGATCCCCTCCAAACAGGCCGTGCTTAACTGAACAAGGTATACATGTCCGCGAATTGTGAGTCTGACACGATAGTGATCGCAACCGGCTGTCGGCTGGAGTGGAGCGCCCCTCCTCAATCCGCCTACAGCCACGGGGGGCGTCCGCCCATGCTACAGACCAGCAGACTTGGACACCACCAGAGCGCCTGGTATGAGACCCGTGTCAAATATTGCACGGCAGTTCCCGGAACCGCGCGGCCGCCGCCAGGCCTGCCAGGTGGCTGGCTCAACGGTCTCGCGGCGCGGTGGCAGCGCGGGGCGTTTGCTTTGCTTTGCTTGCCGCTCCACTCCGCCCCGCTGCCTTGGTTTTTCTTGGATTGGCAGCGGGGAGGGACATATACCCGCCAGCGGCGGGGGAATGCACTTTCCTTTCCCTCACACAATGACCTGAGCGAGCGGCGGGCGCGTGGGCCGCCGGGGGGCACTCGGTCGCCGGCCACCGTGCAGCCGGGTGCCTACCGGTGCCGACCGCCCCGGGGGGCATGCACTTTCCACTTCGAGGGATAGAGTCAAACCTGTCCGCGGCCCCAATAGAAAAGTCACCAGCAGGGGAAAAAGTGGGTATAAACGAATTGCGATTTGCTTGCGGCGAAATGTTTACGGACATATACCCCCCCCCCCCCGGAAATGCAAATGGTTTATATTTCTTGAAATGTCTAAAAACTTCTTAAAGCGATTTCCTATACCGTTTCGAACACACTCAACACGGTGGTCGGTCGCTCTGCAGAACGCGCGCGCACGCGCACGGTCAGCCGCCCGGTCAGCCGCCGCCCCTCCCGGCCCCTCTCTCTGCCCGCCCGATACGACGGCCGCTCTCACGGTGCCAGACTTGCCTCGCTCAGCTCGCAGCTCAGCTCGCTTAGGGGGGATGAAACTCGACGCACAATGGAGGCAGGAATGTTTTTATTTTAAAAACAGAAAAGCGATTCCCGGGCGCTGACCGAGCACCCGAGTTAAATTCACTCAACTCCCGAGTTTCGTCGAGCGCCCGCGGACGACGGCAGAGGTGGCGGGATGGCCCAAACTAAGGCCTAGTAAATTCAACAGCACACACATCTAAGCTAATA